CTTATGGGAAAATTTGATTCGGGTCTTGACCAATTCGGGTCGCGACCAGAGTCGCGGAATGAATTAAGTTCGTGACCCGAGGTACCACTGTATAAGGTAGAACAAATTGTGTATATCAGAAATTGTTTATCTCTGTTAGCTATGTCTTTCAATGACATTTATGGTTAAAGTTCTTTGGTATGGCACTATCCTGAATTTTTTATGTTATTCATGGTGATTCATGGTCCAGACTTTTTGGGAAGTTGGGATTGAAAATTTATGTATTGTATAAGATTCCACACAAATTCTCATTAAAAGCACCACAGTTCTAATGAGTATGTTTTCCCTAAGTGAGCCAATAAGGATACAAGTTAGGCATACTTTAAAGATAATTTTGACTTAGTACACATTCCAGTGTCTGCAGATGTAGAAAGCTGAGTAAATTACTTTTAAAAAGCATTGGATATGGAACAATTATCTTTATAATTAGTAGAGATTCCCAAGGCTTCTAGACTAAAGAAAGAAGGGGAAATAATCCTTCAGAGTAGGACTGATATGTTTTTTACATGTTAACTATTCTTTGGAAGATCACTTCCTTTTTTATTAGGAGTGCAGGGATGCCTTATTTAACAGTATATTTTGCATCTTGCTTTATGCATGTTTACTGAGAAGTAGGTCTGAAATCTGTGGAGCTTATTTTCAAGTAAATGTGCATAGATTTGAATGTACACTGAAGGCAAGTTTGAAGTGGGAATTTAATAGGAGTTATAATTGAAATGAATATTTCTAATATTTTTTTACCGTAGAACTTTATTTTTTAAAGTAACACTTTTAAAAAACTGTTTTATGAATCCTATAAATGAAGGCTCTTGAATGCTAAAATAAACCCTTTGTGGTTAATTTTTTCCAAACCTGCTGGAAAAAGATCTGGCTTCTCGAAAAACATTGTAACTTCATTTTTGTAAAATTATTTTAAGGGAGATTAATATTAAGATATATTGCAGACAGTATTTTCCCATTGCTAAGGAAGAAGTTGGCTTTTAAAGAAATCAGTTTTGTTGATCTTTTAATGCCCCCTTACAGCTGATATCTATCAGAGGCTAGTGGGGTACAAAATGTTTAAATTTGATGCTGTTGTGAATGTAGCTTCTACTGCCAGACTTCACAGTACTTTAGGCTGCTTACCAAATGCAGATATGCATTTTAATGAGGACTGATGAGTCACATACACAAATGGATACCTACCCCTTTCTTCTATCCTGAGGATAGAAAAGGCAGAACCAAAGGAAAAAAATAAGAAAGAAGCTATGAACAAAAGCTGGGAAACATATGGGAGGAAATAGAATTCCTTCTATATCCATGTTATTGATATAGAGGCAATATCTGTTTTCAAGGGAATTGTAGTTTTGAAGTACAGGTAGTCCTGGCTTAACAACCACAATAGGGACCAGAAGATTGGTTGTTAAGCGCTGAGGTCATTAAGTGAGTCACTATGTGACCAAACTCAATTTTATAACCATTTTTACGATGGTCATAAAGCAAATCACCATGGTTGTTAAGTGAATCATGTGGTCGCCTGTTTTGAACTCAGCATTTGAATAATAAATAAATAATAAATAAAAGCAGTTGTTTCAGTCTCAAAGGAAGACATTTCAAGCTCAAAACATTTCAAATTAGAAACATTTTGGACACCCCTACTCTTTAAATTTAAACTCTTAAATCCAGACTGGGAAGATGAAGACAATATCCTAGAAAAAGGCACTGGCAAACTATTTCTGTAGTGTTGCTAAAATAGCAGGGGGCTTTTCCTGATGATCTGGTGGGTGATTCAGCAGAGGCTCTAGTTGCTGCCTGGAATGGCCCTTCAGACCATCTTTTGGGCTGCTGTGAGGATTATTCAGGTTATTTGATGGATAAAGTTGCTTAGATTCGTTCCAACTTGGAATCTGACTGGACATGTCTGAGGCACACAGTCTGGGGTGTGATATGAGATGAGTTTGAGCCAGTGACTCCTGAGGAAGTGGACAGAGTTCTCTATGCTGTCAGCTCAACCACTTGTTTATTGGATTTGGGCCCCTCCTGAGTCATGAAAGTGGCCAAGGAAGTGACCCACAGTTGGGTCCATGCCAGGGTATTGACCTCTTTGATGGAGGGGGTGATACCTCCTGCCTTGAAAGAGGCAGTGGTGTGTCCCCTCCCCAAGAGACCATCCTTGGATCCAAAGTTTTTCTACAACTGTTGACCAGTCTCCACCTCTTTTTTCCTCCTGTACCTGAGTTAGGTGGTTAAGTGTAATTCTCACATCCCAGATCCTTTGCTCCACCACAGGTCTCAAGATGCTTAAAAAAGGACCCTTCCACTGTCTGGGAGCATTTTTCAGCAGTATAGCTTTCATGCCTGTAGCAAATAATTCTGTGTTGGATCTCAGGAATTCCATTGTATAGCATACTGCTAGCATGCCTAATTCCCTAAGCTGGTTTTAGGCTTCTACAATGTTTATCCATGGTCTCATTTCATTTTGAGTGGACTAAACATTCTGGATGGCTTGAATGATCCAGTCCAATAAGGAATGTGATCCTTCAATACCCATCACCCCATGTAGCATCCGACAGATTGCAAGGTGTTGATCACATTGCTCATATTAATTATTTTATAGTTGTAAAGTCTTATAAGGTTAATTGCACAAAGATTAATCTATCCCCTTTTTCATCCCACAAATGACAGGAGGGGCTCTCTTCCCCATTGTTAGTATCATTTGGTCAGGTGGATCAGCTCAGTGTTAGTGTAATTACCCGAACCTTGGGAGATGACTGTTTACTGCTGCCCTACTTGGCGTACCACAGAGCCAAGTGAGTTGCTCTACTCTCCCAATTCTCTACTCTTTGAAGTGTCCCTTAGCACTTTGCATGCAGTTCTTCTCAGATCCTTGCCCTGAGCAGCCTCAATCCAGAGGTGGTTGATTTCCTGCTCTCTGACTGCCACTCCCTTTTTCTCTCCATGAGGCCTGGCTCTAGTTGTGACATCACCTTCTCCAGACTAACTGGAGAAGTGTTCAACCCCAGCCATTCTCATGGGGGTCCACACTAGTCAATGAACCTTGCCATAGGTGCTCAGACATCCATAGCTGGCCATCTCAGTATCTGTCCCTGAGCTTTCTTCCCCTTTCTAGCACCACACATTTTTTCTGCAGGATCCTGCTCACTGTACCAATTGTTGTACATGATGGCTACCATGGGTGAGCTCTGGAAGAAATAATGAACAATAGATGCCAGAATTACAATAAAATGCAAAGCTTTATTAAGCAGAGTATTGTTAATAAAAGCAATACACTTACAGAGGTCTCATCCTGTTCAACCATGACAGGCAGTGGCAGGAGAGGCCTTTCATCATGATTTGTGTATGTGCTTATGAGTCTTTTGGTACAAACTTTTATAATACCAGTTTCCCCCTTCCCATCCAGCACCAAGAAATGGTACCAGAGTGATTGATCCTAAAATTGACACTTGTGTATTCATATCAGCAAAAGCATGCATGCGGGAACCAGGGATATTTCCTGCTCCTCAAAATGCATGCAAGAAATCAATCAAATCAGTCGATGGAATGATAATGTGGCTCGTGAGAGCAAAAGATTAACTACTTTGTTATCTAAGGGAGGGAGGTCAATCAGATTGTTAGTACTTAAGAGGCTGGGGTAAGTACCTTGTTAAAGTGGGAGTAGCTACATTATTAGAGAGCAGAAAGGTTAGGAAATCACTAGGTTCATACTGAAATGAGCAGAGGTTCTTGATAGCCTTGATTCTTCAACATGGATTGGTGATACCTTTGTTTGATGTAGACATTTGGCAGAAGACATACTACAGTGCATTAGGAATATGAACTTCACTCTGTTGTTGAGACAGTTCTTCTCACGTTTCAGAAACTGCATTGGGTGCTTTGGCCAGGGTTCTACGAGAGGACTGGAAACAAAGTGTAGAACTTGCTACTAATATAATATATATATTTTTCTGCTTCTCCAGGTATGTATAGTAATACCTTGTGTATGTTAATGTGTTCTGTAGGCTTAATATTTTAAAATGAATACAGCTGTGGTTATTAAGTCATGCTTGTGGGTGAATAGTTATAAAGGATTTACTTTGGAGCCAGTCACTCTGATTTTAATTCTTTTTTAATGTAGCTTTTCTCAGTTTCATGGACTGATTACACACTATAAAATCGGAGCTCTTTGCATGAACATCATTGATCATGAGCTAAAGAGGCATGAACTCTGGCAAGAGGAACTTACCAAGAAGAAGAAAGCTGATATCCTTATTTGTTGTTATTAGTAGACTAATGGACAGGCATAAATCCAACATATTGTTACAGCATAGAACACTCTGGTTCATAGTTGACAAAAATCCTTCTCTTTTCCAAAATACTCTATTCCACCCACATTCCCAACATTTTACTCAGTTGGTTGTGTTCACCCAGCATACTCATTTGGTTGTTCTTGAGGTTCCCTTATCCGTTAATTTTTAAATAAAATATTTCATTAATACTTTCAAGACTGAATATATGATTTATGAGGATGGTGCCCTTTTGGATATATAGGATCTGCTATCAGAGAATGAATTGAATATTAGTATCTTTTCTGTATAGATAGAAAAAGTGTCTCATTTTAGTGGTGTTTAGCTTAGTTTAGCAAATGCTACATGCTACAAGAAATTAATAGCTGTCTATTTGTAGTAGTCCCTTTATTTCAGGTTAGTGCAAAGAACTAAAATTATAGTGTATTGGATAAATCATCAAAGTAGCAGCAAATCTCCTAGTGTACTTATTATTTGGATAGCTATATTTATAGGGGCTGGCAGATACTGGGGCTGTTGATACGTCACTCCAAATAGTTCTGGCTTACTCTGAACAAGTGTGCTGATGCATCTTGTTCATTTATTCCTGCTTCTCTCCTGCTAGCAGAAATAGCTAAGCAAATCATGAAAACCCATTCAGTGGTTGGTTTGTGTTGTGTATGAACTGGGATTCCTGGCTTGTTTCTGGTAAACTCTTGCTTTTGATTAAAAGGAGAATAATCCAGAGTTCCTGCATATAACATATTAGAAAAACTTTTGGTGGTTGGTTTAATTGTTCTTGCAAGCAGGAAAAGCCCGATGGGAATGGCAGTATGGTATGTGCCAGTCGGCTTTCTCAATAAGGTAATCCAGAATCCTTAGAATCTTAGAATCCTGTCTTACTGTGCCATGTGAATATGGCTGCTATCTTGTAATTGCAGCAAGTACTCCTACAGGACTTATCCATCTTCTCATGATCAAAGAGTGCCTTATAAGCTTTGTATTTCTTAAGTGTTGGGCATATCCTTATCTCTAAATTTCCACTTGATGAAGATCCTGATAATCAAACACTGAAAAAAGAATATGAAAAAACCTTTAAAAAGTACCAAGGTCTGGTGGTTAAGCAAGAACAGCTACTTCGAGGTACAAATTTTGATTCCTGTATCTGATACACTGTAGATACTTTCTCCACATTTAACAAAATTTATGGGAAAGTCTGAAAGACTGCGTAGCTTATTCTATTTATTAGAATTGGAGCTATTTGTATTACTTAGAACTCATTTTAGTAGTGTTTATATTTGTTTAGCAAATGTTACAAGAAGTTAATACAGTAGCTGTCTATTTGTAGCAATCTCTTTCAGGTGATTGCAGAGAATTAAGAGCACAGTAGGTTAAACCAATGAAATATCAGCTAATGACTACCAAAGTATGTATGTATGTATGTATTTTTATGTATATACTGTGTGTATA